ACACAGGGCCTGCTGACTCCAGCACTGCACGCGGGGCCTGCTGACTGACAGTCCAGCACTGCACACGGGCCTGCTGACTGACAGTCCCAGCACTGCAGCGGGCCTGCTGACTGACAGTCCCAGCACTGCAGGCGGGGCCTGCTGACTGACAGTCCCTGCACTGCAGGCGGGGCCTGCTGACTGACAGTCCCAGCACTGCAGGCGGGGCCTGCTGACTGACAGTCCAGCACTGCATATGGAGCCAGCTGAATCCCAGCACTGCATGCGGGACCTGCTGACTCCCAGCACTGCAGGAGGGGCCAGCTGACTGACAGTCCCTGCACTGCACGCGGGGCCAGCTGACTGACAGTCCCTGCACTGCACGCGGGGCCAGCTGACTGACAGTCCCTGCACTGCACGCGGGGCCAGCTGACTGACAGTCCCTGCACTGCACGCGGGGCCAGCTGACTGACAGTCCCTGCACTGCACACGGGGCCTGCTGACTCCCAGCACTGCACACGGGGCCTGCTGACTGACAGTCCCAGCACTGCACGCGAGGCCAGCTGACTGACAGTCCCAGCACTGCACGCGGGGCCTGCTGACTGACAGTCCCAGCACTGCACGCGGGGCCTGCTGACTGACAGTCCCAGCACTGCACGCGGGGCCTGCTGACTGACAATCCCAGACCCAGACCGACCTGCTGACCTGCCGCCGACACGGAGACAGGGAGGTGGAGGGGTGTATCCATCTGCAGGAGCCGCCCGGGACCAGGCTTCCTAGTACTGAGGCCTCTGAACCTCTCACCGGCTCTGGCTGTCATGCTGCTGGTAGTAGTTCTGTTCAGTATTTCCCCCTAAACCACCTGCAGCTATTGTGTAAGATGCAACTTTAAACAAATAACACGGCCATGTCAGCAGAAACCCAGGTGGATGCAGGAACCAGAGGTCCGGGCAGGTCCCGAAGGGACAGGAAAGGTCCCGCATCCCGCGCCATGTGCGGCCGGGCCGCCCCCTGAGCCGGGACCCCCAGAACTGACCTCTAATTGGGGTGGGGCCCTGGGCCCGAGACGTGTGGAGAGTAAGTGGACGGCTCAGCTTCAGTCCCCTTTTCTTCCCCTCCTGACCCCACACCCACCTGGGCCCACAGGCTGTCCAGAGGCTCTGCTCATGACGTCCATCAACTCAGAAGACACGAGGACTGTGAGCTCGTCATTTACGAATCAGTGAAATGACAATTGCATGGTAACATAAATAATGACTTTTTCTAAAAATACGTCTTTTCAGAAGTATTTAGTGAGAAGGGTGGCACTGGGACACAGGAGTCTCTGCTGCTTCTGGATTCAATTTGCTGCGAGAGTGAATGTCACGTCACCTCGTGGCAGGAGAGAGAGAGAGAGAGAGAGAGAGAGAGAGAGAGAGAGAGAGAGGCAGAGCATCTAGTGCTGTTATGAAGACAGCGGTGACCTGTGGATTCCCCGAAAAGGTCTCGGGGACACTGGGTCCCCTGCTCCACGAGGGAGCGCGGCCCCTGCAGGTGTGAGAGGGAGCCACACACCGAGGGCTCAGGGGAGACCGGGGGGCAGGCGTAGACTGAGCTCACTCTGGAAACATAACTAGAACGTTGTCCTTCGTCTCAGAGGAAGGGGACCACTTCCATAGCCGAGTTATGGTGAGAGCTCAGCGCGATGGGCAGCCCCCAGCCGCACATGACGGGGCACGTGACCCAGAAGAGAACCCGGGACAAGCAAGGAGCGATCTTGAACATGGAGAACGTGGCTGCCTGAGGATGGAGACGGGCACAGGTGAGCAGAGCGTAGAAGGGGAGCCCGGGGCGGAACAGGGGTCTGAGAAGCGGGGCTGGCACGCGGCCCTTAGTCAATACTCTGAAACCTGCGGCCGAACAGGAGTGAGTCCCGTTAACCTCGGACGGAGTGAAGCAGAAAACGCCACGTCCACGCAGCTCCCTTCTGGCCACAGGCATGCAAACCTGTCTAGTTCTGGCCACTTCGTTTAGGACAGGAAGGGAGACTGGCCCACCGCCCCGGAATGTCCCCTGACGGACGGGCCTGTGCTTCCTGCACGCAGGCCCCGGGCCGCGAGGGTCTGGCCAGAGGCGCGTCCTTCCCAAGACCACGTTCTCCACTCTGAGTCCATCCTTGAGATGAAGACAAAACCCCGCGTGGTCCTCCAGGCCCCCACATGCAGGCAGGACACCCACCAGGTCACCGAGGGAGGCGGCTCGGTCCAGTGCCCTGGTCACCAGGCACACGCGTCCTTCTTGGCCGTCTGGGGTGGCGCCTGGATCTGCCTGTTTACAGAGCTCCAGGGCCTGTGATGCCAGCGAAGGTGGAGGCCCAGCGGGCAGAGATGGGCAGTGAAGGAGGTGCCCACGTGCGGGGGGGAGGTGCCCGTGCCGGAGGGGAGTGTGCGGGGCCCTGGTGGAGGGCAGACCTGGTACGGCTGCTTGTGCTCACAGTGCCCAGCGGCCGACCACCCTGAGGAGCTGACTCCTGAGAAGGGGTGCCTGGGTAGTCAGGGGTGAGCACACACTCAGGGGCCCCCACTCTCATCCACTTCCGGGGCCTGGGAGAGGCCAGGGGGTGCCCCTGCCTTGGGAAGAGTGGGTGGTGGCAGGGCAGGGGGTGCCGGGGTCTGACGAGGAAACGGTGTGGTCTGGACGCCCACATTGTCACCTGCCCACCCAGCGCCGTGCATCCACCACAGGGAGCTGCACTGAGCGTGCGGGGGGCAGGCAGCGAGGCTCCCGCTTTCCCGTCGCGGCTGTTCCGATACTTTTTGGAACCAAATATCAACAATTCCCCAAAAGACACTGGAGGTGCCGGCGCCTCAGACCCCTCTGCGCAGAGCAACACGGCGGACGCTGCGTCAGGAAAACGCAGAGGAGCAACCAGGGCTGATCCTCGTCCGGGACGCAGATCCCGCAGGGACGCGGCCACAGCTGGGGGAGGGGTCCTGGCCACGCCAGCTACAGGCTCAGATAGAAACCTGGGGACACTGACCGTGAGCAGGGACGGCTTCCATCAAGGAGGTGGCCACGGAGACAGGCCACCCTGTCAGTCACACGCCCAAGCGCACCCCCTCCGGCCGGCACACCCCTCCTGGCCGAGGCTGCTCACATGACCACCCACTGAACTGGGGGTGCAGGCCCTGCAGAGCCTGCAGGCACGGCCACGTCCAGGACCTCTCAGAGCAGCAGCACCACGAGGCGCGGCTGCCACCCTCACAGACCAGGGGTCGGAGGGGTGCCGGCCGGGGCACCCACCGAGCCGACGACTCTCCCGGGCTCTGCAGGACGGAGGAGCTCACGGAGCCTCAGAATGAGCCGCCGCCAGGCCGCCCAGCGCCTTCTCAGAGCCGCGCGGCGGGCGCACTGCTGGGGGACTCGGGCACAGGTCTGAGTCCTCATCCCGAGAGATGAGCTCTTCTATGGGGACAGACGATGGTGAGTGAGCATGTCCAAGGCAGACAACATCGCATCATTTGTACACCTGCTGTGCTGGGCCCTCTCCGCTAGAAAATGCAGACAGCAAGGGCAGCACGGCTGTCAGACTTACTAGCTGCGTTTAAGCACCTGGCCCACGGCTCCCCCTTCACCCTCCTGGGCCGCCCCCTGCAGGAGGTGGAGCCGTGACACGCGGAGCTCTGAGCGGAGCCTGGGGTGCTGAGCACTTGGGGGTCGCTGTCTTGTATCCACACACAGCCCAGGGCACCCACAGACACCATGCCCCACCACGCCCTCAGCACCCTGCTCACTGACGGGGTCCGACCGTGCTGCCTGCAATGGCTCCGTGAAGCTGGGCCAGAGGGACGGGGAGCGGAGGCCCCATGCAGGCCAGCTCACCCCAGCCTCGGCGAGGCCAGGTGACACCAGTGCCTTTCAGGCCCCGACTTCCTGGGAGGGCATCCTCCTGGGAGGGCGCTGCGGCCAGGCAGACAGCAAAATGGTGCTGAGGCCCCGCCGCCCGGCAGGGCTTCCCGCCTGAAATGGCTGGCGGCGTCCGCCCTTGGACAGGCTCCTTCCTGTCGATGGGACTCTTGAGCCTCGGCCACGACTCAGAGGTCCCACAGCCAACAAGGCAAACAGCCCCAAGTCCCGGGACAAAGGGAGCGCCGCCCGGCCAGCGAGGGGACCAGGACGGCAGCGGGCTTTCCCATCGCGTCCACGCAGGCCCCGCGCACAGAACCTCAGAGCGAGGCACCCCTCTGCCCGAGGTGCCCCCAAAACAAAGCACCAGGGAACGTCCTCTCTCAAACTGGGGCCTCAAAGGCCAGTGCCAGCCCCGCTCCCGCCCAGCGCCTCCGCCCGCCGGGCTCCGCGTCCAGGCCTGCCTCCACCCGGCCGCGGCTGCCTGGCCTGTGGCTGCCTGGCCCTCGGCACAGCTCTGCCGATCTTCCCTGGAACCAGAGCCCAGCGCCGGGAGCAGGGAGGCCCGGATGCCGGGAGCCGCCCCGCTGCCCCCCGGCCCCACCTGAAGAAACGCCTCCGGCCTCCTCTGTAAACTCTTCCGGAGGCTCCAGAAGCACAGTCAGAGCTTTCGTTTGCGGAAAAGAAAGAAAACGAAGAAAAGAAAAAAACACGCGGAACTTACGCTCATCCAGGAGTGCGCACTGCGGGCAGAAGCCAAGGACGGAGCTGTGATCCCGGTCCGGCCGCAGGGAGAGCAGAGCGGGGTGTGAAGGCCGCCCGCTCAGCCGGCGGCCGCGGCAGCGCGCATCCACGGGGCTGATGCAAGATGCCTTTGCGAGAAACCTCACATTCTGAGGATTCCTGGGCCGGCGCCAGGCTCCCAGCATCCAGCACGCCGCACATTTGGTTTCAATTAGGAAGGGGCTGGGAGGGAAGCGCAGGGCACCAATCGGAGCTGTTTCTGTTTGGAGACCAGTTCTTTTGACCCAAGGGACCACGGCAGAGTTGTAATTTACAGCAAAACCCATTCACAGGAGAGAAAAGTATGTATAACCACCGCACAGTCTTAAAGACACAGCTCTCTCCCGCCCTGTCCCCCCTCCACCGCACTGGTCCCCGCCGGTGCCCGCTCCGTGTCCCTCCTGGGCCGGAGCTCTGGGCACAGCGCACGGGTGGGATCTCTCCGCCGGAGCTCCCAGGACCTGGGGTCCCACACATGGAGCTGAGCACAGAGCGCCCCCCCCACACCCCGGGAGATCTGACTCCATCCCGTCCTCCCACGCTCCCCCACACAAACACTGGAGGCTCCAGGATCCCTATTTTCCCACTCAACTCCCAGGGGGCCGCGCCTCGGGCCACTGCAGCCTGCACTCAGACGCTGGATGGAAACGCGGCGCTGACAAGCACTTCCTAAGCTGTTGGGAAGCCCTCCCTGTTTCTCTGTCTGTGGCCATGGCCAGAGGTCACGCGGAAGGGGAGGGGCCGCAGCTAGGAGCCTCCCGCGGCTCCTAAATGACAAATTGCCTTCCTCTCCATCCACCCAGGCTGGTGGCCTCGACCCCGCCGAGCCCAGATGCCCCACACTCAGGCTGCCGGTTCCGGGGTGCAGGGCCCCAGGGCTCAGGTCCGGAGACGGTGGGGGGGGGGAGTGGCAGCAGGAGTCACAGGACCTAAGGCACCTCAGAGACTGCTTCCTCCAGGCTCCCAGGCCTTGCGTCTCCTCCACTCCGGCTGGGCAGGCCCTGGGATGGCTCAGCCCGAGACCAGCAAGGCTGGGGGCGCCAGGAGTGGGCAGGGACCATGGAGGGGCCGTCCCTCAGAGCGCCCGGAGCAGGAGACACTTCGTAAGAGGAACGGGAGCAAGGAGGCCTCCAGTGGGGGGCCAAGGAGAGCCCTAACGCTCCTCAGAGGCAGGCCGCTGTCCCTGGACCCAGCGGGAGGTGCAGACACCCGGGCCTGCGGGAGGGCGACAGGCCGATGGCTCAGAGACAGGGCTTGCTTCCTGGCCACCTCTGGGCTCTCTGCACGGACCGTGCTGCCCCGCAAACACAGCTCTCGGGCTCCAACACAACACGCCAAAGCAGGAGGGGATTTCTACGCCCAGGTCCTTCCCCGCTACAGCCGCAGCCGGGATGGCCAGCGGCACTCAGCCTCCAGGACAAGGCCAGGCTGAGTCTGTGCAATTCGCGCTCCTGGGAGGCGCAGGCCGGTCCTCACCACCAGCCAGGCCAGCTTCGGTGCTGGGACCGGAGGACAGAGCAAGGGCAGCTGCTCCCACCTGAGCGCAGGAGCCTGGGACCCGGAGGCCCCGGAGCCGCCGCACTCGCACGGCGAGTCCCCAGGGGGCCACCTGTCCGGGTCTCAGTACCGGAGGCGAAGCACAGCTGGAACCCACCTCTCGAGCCCCCTCCCATCGCTCTTTCCAAAACACCGTGCCATCGCACAAAGTGCTTTTACTTTAAACCTTTAAGAGATTTTAGGCCAAAATAAACAGGGAACCAAGGCCAGGGAAAGCCTCCGGCGTGAGGGCTGGCGGGGCCAGGTGGGCTGGAGCGCCCGTCGGCCTGGGCCGCAGCCTCTCACTGTGCGGGTCTCTGGGGTTACTGGTTACAATGTCTCCTCTTCCGTTTACAGTTGTTTTTGTTTTGGTTTGGTTTTTTAAATATGTATTTTATTGATTTTAGAGAGAAAGGGAGAGGGAGAGAGAGACAGAAACATCAATAATGAAAGAGAATCACCGATCGGCCGCCTCCCGCACGCCCCCCACTGGGGATCGAGCCCACAACCCAGGCACGTGCCCCTGGCCGGAATCGAACCCGGGACCCCTCAGTCCGCAGGCCGACACTCCATCCACTGAGCCAAACCAGCCAGGGCCCGTTTACAGTTTTATTTGCGTCTTTTCTTAGTTTAGCTAAATGTTTGTCAATTTTGCTTATCTTTTCAAGAAACCAACTCTTAGTTTTATTGAACTTTTTATTGTTTTTCTCTTCTTAATTTCTGTTCTGATTTTTATCTCCTTCCTTCTGCTAATTTTGGGCTTAAACGTTATTCTCCTTTTTCTAAATCTTTGAAGTGTATTTTTTTCTGGTTTATTTTTCTGGTTTAGGTTCATTCCCATGAACAACATATTCTGTATTGTGTGGCAAACTCCGACTCTCTATATTTATTGAGAGCATTTAACTGTTTTCATTTATTGTACCACCACCACCTCGCGTTATAGTTGTCACTCCCCAGGTTCTCCCTGCCCGATCGGACTCGCCCAGGACCCGCCTTCTGTGCCGCAGCTTCCTGGGCTCTCAGACGGCTGTTGGCCGCCTCTCCCTGGGGAGGCGTCACTGGGTGTGCGTGTCGGTCTCCTGCAGCGAGCCCGGCCTTGGTCAGCATCAGCCATCCGCGCCCGTCAGGCTGCCATTACAGATGACCTTTGTAAGCATTCTTCTTCTTCTTTGAAAAGAAGTTATGATTCTGGAATGAACTTCCCTACGTGTTCTTTCTGCTCATTCCAGGCCCCCACCCACCACTTCCTTCCCTCCGACCCGAACCCGAGCTCATCGCGTATCCTAGTCCCTCTCAGGGCTCCGTGCTCCCGCTCGGGAACTGTCACAGGTGTGTCCCTAAATGATGACAATAAGCCCGAGCACCTCTGCCCCCCCTTCCCAGAGGAAGAGCGGGAGGGACCCCTGGAGGCCCGGCGTCTCTGGCCTTTGCAGGACTCGCTGCTGGAGGCACAGCTTCGCGTCCGTGTCACACCGTAACGAGCAGCCCTCCCTCCCCATGTCCTCCCTCCCCATGTCCTCCCCTCCCCCTGTCCCTCCCTCCCCCTGTCCTCCCTCCCCCTGTCCTCCCTCCCCCTGTCCTCCCTCCCTGTCCTCCCTCCCCTCTGCCCTCCCTCCCCCCTGTCCTTGCTGAACAGCCAGAGGAGGTCTCCCCCAACAGCTCCAACCTCTCGTCTTATTCAATCCATGGGAGCGGAACTGTAATATGTGGTAGAAAATAAATGCCCAGAATGAGGTCTAGGTTGTAAGATTCTTGTTAGATGGATGGTGAGCTCCATGAAAAAAATAGCATTTTTCAGGGTCTTGGGGAACAAATACAATTTGGAATCCCAGGCAGACAGAACGAAGCCACCAAAGATGTCCTGGCTAGAAAGTGCCTCCCACACTCTAGAGGAAAGGCTGGGCGACAGGCCCCCTCTCTGGAGGAGCGGCAGCTGTGCCTGCAGTGGGGGAGGGGAAGGCATGTGAGTAGCTGGGGAGCAAGGCGGGAAGGTGGCCCTGAGGCGGAGAGATCCTGAGCGAGGCGCTCACACCCTAGAGGAGCGCAAGGCCAGCTCGCCAGGCGCCGGGAATGATCACCTGGAGGAAAGGAAGAGCCGTGATGAGAAAAACGTTTATACAATTTTATGGTGAAAGGCAAAGCGTGAGAAGACAGCCCCACGTCCTGATACGTAGCTCGGAGGGTTGTTGTGAAGAATCAATGAGCTAATAAGTGTAAAGCAGTTACAACAGTATCTGCCTCTAGCAACCACTGGACCCATGTGAACGAGCCCCAACACAAGGCAGGAAACACACATAAAGGAAATACATAGGAAGCGGACATCAGGAAAGGACATCAGGAAACATTGAAAGACAGATGAGTGAGGCTCAGACGCACAACCAGAAATATTTATCGGGGTCACAGAGAAGTACACGTGCAGCTCATTGAGCCAAGTCCTTCACAAGCACGCACGTACACGCACACGCACACACACACCACTCCACTCTGCAGGTGAGGAGACTGGGGCCGGAAGGAGTCATGACTCGGCCCTGGTCGCTCTGGTTCATCACAAGGCAGGTGAGAGCCCAGGCGCCCTGACCCCTGACCCCTCACAGAAGATGCTGATGGAAATAAGAAGCAACTAACAAAAGACACCCAGAGAGTGCAGGGGCGACGGGTGCTGAGGGCCAACTGCATCGGCCTGGCCTCCCAGCTCTAATCTCGATTCTCCAGCATTTCAGTTTCTATTTTGAAGTTAGCTGAAAAGACAGGGTCTCTAGAAACAACCCACAAAGCCTCCAAATCTGAAACACAATATTACATAATCATATCCCTAAAATGTACATTTGAAAATAATGTCTCAAAGAAAATGGAAAAAGTAGAAAAGACAACCACACACACACAAAAACGTTTTGTGGAATGACAAAAACAGGCTATTGGTACAACTTCCAATTTTTCACTCTCAGATGTTGTAGATGATGTCATTGTGGTGTGTCCTGCTTGCCCCGAGAGACTCCTGGTCTATGGAAAGGCAGATGAGGAGACCTCACTGGGAGAGATCTGTATTTGCAGATACATCTGAGGTCTGGTTACCACCAGGTTGGACTGTGTTCCGGGTTAAACAGCTGGTTAAACATATGAACTTCAACCAGCACCACAGCACCAGCTACTGTCGGGTCTCCACATGGAGCAATCATTTGAGAACCCAGGGATGGAGAAAAGAAAGGAAGCGGGTTTGGGAAATAACATAAATGTAATTTGTAGTTTTCAGAGAAAAGAATCCAATGAAAATAAAATTGGTGTTCTGAGTTTGAGGCTCTAAACAGGCGCTCTGTAAAAAAGAAATCGATTATAGAAATGTGAAACTATCATCATCTCAGTTGCACACTTGGAAAAAATAAGGCTGTCTAAAATAGAACGTTTTTTCGGCCTGCCAACTGAAAATTGATATTTTCATTATGCTTTGGGTCAAGGGTTGATTTGTAAATACTAGGTAAGCTCTGCTCCATGAGTTAAAAAGAATTCTCCTATATAAATCTTCTGAGAGTGTAAAAGCAAGAAAAATGTACCCAGG